TATGGATAAATCCAAGGTGCAAGCTATTTTAGTCTGGCCTATTCCAAATTTAGCTAAGCAACTAAGAGGATTTCTTGTACTCACAGGTTATTATAGAGAGATTATTAATGGATGTGCACACATTGCAACTCCTTTAACAAATTTGTTAAAGAAATCTAGTTTTGCTTAGGATACTCAAGCTACTATGGCTTTTGAGGCTTTACAGCAAACTATTGTTACTGCTTGATTTTGGCCTTACCAAATTTTTCTCAACCCTTTGTCTTGGAAACAAATGCTTCTGGTATCAGTATAGGTGTTATCCTTAACCAATGTCACCATCTCATAACTTTCTTCTTGAAGAAATTAGTTTCACAATTTCAAAGATAGTTTGCATGTGTGCAAGAATTTTTTTCCATAAATGAAGCTATTGCTAAGTTTAGGCTTTACCTATTAGGTTCATATGTTTATATTTTGAACTGGTCAGTAGAGTCTCTTTGCTCAATCATTACAAACATTGGAACAAGCTTGATTACATAAGTTTATTGACTATAACTTTACAATTGAATATAAGTCTGACAAAAGAAATCTTGCTGCTGATGGTTTGTCCAGCTCTTTTATGATGGCTTCGTCCCAACCAACTTGTGAAATCATTTCTAAAGTAAAAGGCGCAATTATTGTAGATTTACAACTTTTTGAAATTTTGTATCAGTGTATGCTTGGTTCACCTTTGATTCCACACTATTTATCTCAAGATAGGTTGTTATATTGGAAAGACCGCTTGGTCATTCCTCATAATTACTCTCTAATTCCTCAACTTTTGCAAGAATATCATAGTTCTCCTCCAGGTGGTTATTTAGGTGTGGCCTAGACATTAGCTCGCATTGTCGCTTAATTGTTTTGGCCTGATTTGTAGAAAGTTATTAGAAGTTATGTTCACATCTATTTGCTTTGTCAACAAGCAAAGACTACTACTACTTTGCTATTAGAATTGCTTCAACCGTTATCTATTCTAGTTCAAATATAGGAAGATGTAGCAATAGATTTCATCACTAGTTTGCCTCCTTCTTATAGGTTCATAGTTTTCATAGTTGTCGTAGATAGACTTTCAAAATATGACCATTTTGCTCATTTAAAGACTAGTTATTTGAGTAAATATGTTGCTGAGTTGTTCCTCCAACACATTATAAAGTTACATGGCTTTCCTAAATCACTTATGTCAAATTGGGACAAGGTTTTAATTAGCCAATTGTGGTAGCATTTATTCAAACAAAGTGGCATTACATTGACAGTAAGTTTTGCTCATCATCCACAATTGGATGGTCAATCCAAAGTTGTCAACAAATGCTTGAAAATGTATTTGTGGTACTTTACTTTTGGTTTCCATGGACGGAGTATTGGTATAATATGTCCTTTCATACTAGTATGAAATGACCTCCTTCAAGGTTGTTTATGGCAGGGACCCTCCCTTATTATCCAAATATTCATGGCATGATATTGATCCTCCTTTCCTGCAAGAGTTACTGTAACAATGTGATTTTAATATTGACTCAACTAAAGTTAAATTTACACCAAGCTCAAGCAAATATGAAGATGTAAATCTTAAATGCAAACATATGGAGTTCCACTTAGGAGCTTAGGTCTTAGTGAAGCTTCAACCTTATAGACAAAATTTAGTGGCTTTGCGTAAGAATCATAAACTTGGTTTAAAATATTTTGGCCTTTTTTCAGTTATTTAAAAGGTTGGCAAAGTTGATTCCAAGTTGTTATTACCTTCAGCAACTAAGATTTGCCCTGTCTTTCATGTATCCCAACTAAAGCCTTGTAAGGGAGAGTATGATTAGATTTATGTGCCATTGACTACCAGTGAGCTAGGACCAATGATATCTCCTTTGTCTCAGCTACAACATAGGATTATTCTTCATGGTTCACAATAGGCACCACAAATTCTGAAACATTGAGAAAGCCTTGATGAAGCATAAATAACTTGAGAGGATGTGGAGCTCATACATAAATAATTCCAAGTTGTATGGGGCTAGAAATGATATTTAAAGCATGGAAATAGTAAGGAGTGAAGATGAGAGTTATGTGGAGTCTTCTTTTCTTTTTCTGAACTTTTTTTTGTCACTAAGTTAATTCTCTGTATTATTATGGTTGTCTCGTTCATATGTGGAGCCTCCTTTTCTTTTTCTGAACTTTTTTTTGTCACTAAGTTAATTCTCTGTATTATTATGGTTGTCTCATTCATATGGATAATTATATTTTTCTTTTCATCAAAAGAAATATGCTATTAATATTACTATACTAGAAATATTATTTATAATTTAAAAGAATTTTTTTTTGAAATTTACATTTTAAAAAGTTTTACATAAATATTATAATTTAAAATATATATTTTAATACAAATTCTTTTTATAATAAAAGTAAAATAAAGAATGCAACGTGTTCAATTAAATAAATTAATGTAGTTACTATACAATAATTAATCGATTTGGGGTGACAAAGCATTTCATTTTATATTTTAACATTAATAATATTTTAATTCTAGATGAGAAAAGTTTTTCACTCTTAAAACTAAAACTTATTTTTTGTGAACTTTTGACCAAAAGTTTTAGTTGAATATTTATGATGAAACTAGATGACCATTGACAAGGAAATGAGTTGTTGAAAAAGTTTGCTTGTCCTGTGAAAAGTTCACTATAAAATAGGTCAATCCGTTTTATTTTTTTAAAATATACTAAGATATTTTAGCTTGACCTGTTTAAAGGTGGACAAGCTAATCTAACAAGCCAAAGGAAAAATTTAAAAAGTATTTTTATATTTATAAAATTTAATATTTAATTAATAAATAATTATATTATATTTTTAAAAATTTAAAAGTAGGCTCAATGGGCTAGTCTATTCAATTCACATTTTGACGACGGGCTTAGCAGTCTAACGAATGTAAAACCTCCAACTTCATTAATTAGTTTTGTTAAATTATAAGTATTTTTGTTAAATTATAAGGGTTGTCTTGTTGAGCTGAATTCACTTTGTCATCTTTAATAACAAACTAAAGAAAGAAAAAGAGAAAAACTTAATGGAGATTACAATGAACTCTCTTATTTAAGGTAAAATAGTAAAATTTAAGGGAGAAGAAAATCAACCATATGATTATTCCAAATTGCATAAATAGAATTGGTATTGAAAAAAATAAGTTTAATTGCATTTTTAGTTCATTTAATTTGGATCGTTTATAATTTTAGTCTTTTCAATTTTTTATCCAATTAAGTTGATATTTTTTTTTAAAATTAAGCAAATTCAGTTATACTATTAATATATCTAAACTTTTGGAAGTTTGTAATGAATTTGAAATATGAAATAGTTTTAAAAAACAGTTAAAAAAATGATAAAGTTTACAGAATTTTACAGGATATGAGATTAGGATGAAGAGGGAAAATGCAAGAATTAAGATTTTGGGTAAAATTTGATTCTTCAGTAAATTTTGAAAAAAAAAATTAAAAGAATTAGTTGATTTAATTTGTCAAGAATTGGTGCCAGCAAAAAAAAATTGTCAAGAATTTGAGTAGAGAATAAGGATTTTAAGATGAACAAAAAATTTATAAAAATAATTTTTCCTAATTTTAGAAATCAAGAGACTTAATTATTTGTTAAGAAAATTACAATCAAAATTGTAAAATGATAGATTAAACATATAATTAAAAATTTAAATAAATGACAAAAGGTTGAAAGATAGGGTTTTTGGAATTTATCCCCCATCTAACAGTTCAAGTGGTGGACATGAATAAATAGTCAGGTTTAATTTCTAGGACCCAAAAAGACAAAGATTGTTGGCCCTCATTATTGTAAAAGAAGGTTCATAAATTTTGGTCATATTTTATTATTATTATTATTATTATTATTATTATATTTAAATAAATAAAAAAAAGAAACGATACAAAAGTAAAACAACCATATTATCACTTGTTGGTCTAGTATTACGTTTTCTTATGAGGACAAAATATAAAAAGAAGTATGGAATATAGGCACATGTCAATAAGCTGGTGTAGAATTATTCCATATTCAACAAAAAGAGTAAGGACATCATGTAAGAAAAAGGCCATACTACTAACAATTTATTTGCTAAAACTTTTAAGTGAAGGATCTTGCATTTGTTAAATCTGATGGGTAATTGTTTTATCTCATTCAACAAGTCTAATTGAATTTTAACTGCAACCAATCACGATTCTAAGTATTATCTTTTGGCTGGGTAACATTACTTTAGCCAGTAAATGAAAGAAAATTGAAAAAATGGGAAATTGGACTTTGATCTAAGGCGGTTAACCCATTTAGACTTGATTTTCAAAGCTGCTTTGTGACCTTACTTTTTAACTCAGCCCAGTAATAGGATCACTAATACATAGGAACAGTATATACACTCTCACCTCACAACCTCAAGTGGTGAGAGAGAATAGGTTATATGCAAGATGACTGAACTCGAATTCTGGTTCTTAACAATTACCACGTCCCCTTTCCCCTCCCCCAACTCCACAAAATTATAGCTGAGTTATGCCTATGATCAAAGTAACTTTTCCGGATCAGGCTTAAAATGCAGCCCTGAAGATATCATAAGTTTTTAACAAAACCCATTTAGAATTAGGACCAGGTTTGAACTTCATCGAACAAATTTGAAGAGGTTTTTGACCAGAAATAATTTGACATTTTTCTTTACTATTCCTAGCTTTTCCGTTTCTCTTATAAAAGGTCAACCACTCACATAATCATAACTTGTTTGGTGCTTATAATAATTAATTGTCTAAATGTATTAATTTTAATGTGACAGACACATTTTGTTACGAAATATAATCGTTACCCAAATCGCATAACGCCTTTGCACCATGTCAGTTCTGTTACAATAAAGCCTCTACCAAACCATATTATTCTATCAACATGGAACACCGTTGATTTCCCTGTTTATTGCGCAGCGCCACATAACGTTAGTTATAGACAAAACCATAAAATGGTGAAACCTACTAGGAAATTGACTCAATCAAAATGCAATTATAGTAACTAGTTCATATGACTCGCATAGTGAAAAACCAGTGAGAAGTGATACAGATATATGAACTAAAGAGCACCATATTTTTCTTTAGGCACGCCTCCAAATTCCTGTTATTTTGTGATAGTTACCTAAGGATTCAAATAATTGGGGGCATGTCCATAGTTTTCAAATACACATAAATCTAGTCCCATTCATTAGTTTCCAGGAAGGTCGAGTTGGAGACATTTATAGTTGTCTTTCCATCCGGGCCAAGTGGATCATAAGGTGAATCTTCTCCATATTCAGTTGGCATTAACTTCCAGTACAGGCTAGGTTCCCATTCTGCTTCTTTGAGGACCTTCAATATCTCTTTTACCACTATCTTGCTCCCCTCAGACGTCAGATGGATTCCATCCCTATCAAACACCACTCAACCAAATGAAGGAAATGCAGATTTGAACCTTCTCAGTTGAGCATATGACTATGAATGCGCATACTTACGTAAAGCATACATCTCTCCAGCCATCCCTTTTCTGGATTGCAGACCACAGATCAATTGCCTTGATATCCATCTCGCGGCACAGCTCCAAGCATGCTTCTGAATATATTCGACAGGATTCGTTTGTTCTTAATCGTTGCCCTGGTAGAACCCTGGTTAAAAGTCTAAAAATTTATTCATCAGCTACTTAAATATACATTAAAAAAATAGGAAAAAGGAATGTTAAAGGTTCAAGGGAAACAACTAGTCATCCCCTAAACTATAGCTAGAATAAATAAATTCAACTCTGTTTGTTTCAAGCTGAAGATGTCCAACTTTTAGATATCAGTCACACTATATTAATCAAACTTAAGCTCAATTCTGAAGAACAAAATATCACAAACTTTTGGGTACAGATTTTATTTATTTAAACCAAATCTACAGTTCATGGCCTCTATGTGCCAGTTTGCTAGGAGTGTAGGTATATTTCTCACTATGTAGTCACAGTATCCACCTTTTCTTCTTGTGAAATTATAATTATCAATAGTAATTCAATTGCTGTTAAAACCTGTTTCCATAAATTTGTTCTTCATTGACCGGAGGAGCAGTGAGAAATATAACGCGAGTCTTCTTGGAAAGGCTCTAGCAATCATTAGGATTTGTGTCAAACTTTGCAGGACATATGTAAAAAGTAAAGAAATAGAAATTCTTGAAGCAGTGAACAAGTAATACATGAAGGCTGAAGGATTTCTTTTGTACATTAATCAATACAGGAATGAGTTATTCTAGAAAGTTTACCTTCAAATGGATCGCAATCTTTCTCATATTTTCAATGTATTCTTGGAGAGGTACATGTTGACCAAGGCCACTTGGATGTGGAAGAAGAGAATCATTACCACCAAAGTACACAATTATCAACGATGGTTGCTCAGTGGCATTCTAAGTTAAAGAAAATGACAGAGGAAAAGGGCCAGTCCTTATTTGTCAGTCACAGCCAGAATCAAAGTATTCATGATTTGTGAACCTGAATCTTAAATTGAGAAGATAGGCAAGCTACAACTTTTGATAATTAAGTAATTCATTTTAGTACATTAAATATTGTAAGTAAGAATAATGTTTCTAATATATCCAAGCTCACTTGTAAGACATGTTGAGGATGTCATGTGTAAGATTCTTCCAAGTCACTAGCATACCTATTCAATTGCTAACTCTTTGAGATTCCATTTGTTTCTCAATGCCCTCAAATCGAATTACCATTTTATAACATTTATGATGAAAGGGAGAAAATTCATGATGAAGAAAGAGGGGGAAATTGGATTTAACCCTCAGATTCTCGGTACCTTGGGGAAAATTTCATCCAAAACTTGCAGAGCACGCCTTGAATTCCAACCAGAGTATCCTCGCAGAACTATATCTGCCTAAGTCATGCCAATGCAGTGATAAGTTAAACTCATTGGCCATCATAATGCACCCATAAAGGCATATATAAATGTAATTATTTCATTTAATTATTGCTGATATTTCAAAAAATAAGGCATTTATATGCATTGTTCTCATGTTAGTCTCTTTGAAACAATTGTTATCATTCTAATACCATGATTCAGTAGAGACTGAAGTGGGACCACCACTTTCTCAAACAGTCCTCAATACAGTGATTTTCTGACAGCAAATACTAATATTCCACAAAAATTTAGGTTTATCTTTGATTTTAAGATTTCTTCCACTAGACAACAAGCTGCATTACCTTGCATAGCTTCATATTATCCAATTATAGGAAAATGGAACATTTCTTTTCCCTAAATAAGAACTAATCACATTGCGTGCAGTCTAGTGCTTGTAAATGAAACCCAACCCCTTTATATTCATCCATGGAAACTCAACCAAAACACGAAACTCTCAATATAGTCTCATCTAGTATCCAGAAATAAGAAAACAGCATATCAATCCCTATGGAAAATCATGACACAACACAGCAAATCGATCATCAGCCAACTCAATGTGTGCAAACAGTAATAAAAAGAGATCAATTTAACATATTCATGCTCCATCAAAATTAAAGCGAGAAATGAAACTGAATACCCGATTCAATCTGAGATGGCATAAATCATGTCACGTTCAGGACAAATTAACCAAGCACAATGCTATTTATCCACCGCCAATTATTTCATAAGAATTGTAAAATATAAAATACCCAATGTTTAGGGTAAATCAGTCACAAAAAAATTCAGACTTTAAAACTTGACACACAGACACACATCACTAAAATCTCAGTGAATGCATTCCCAAGAATCAAGTCAAATAATAATAAATATTTAAACTCAATGTTCGCTTATTATTCATTTATATCATACTCTTTTGAGTGTATTTGGATTCAAATGTGTATATCCGGGGATTCATTCACGTTTACTTCAACAATATTATAGCTTGTTTGATTTGGTGTTAAAATGCATGTGTATCACACTTTTGCAGCTTCACGGAAAACTAAAATTGTGAGAAGAAGAAAAAAAAGTACCTTACGAGCATACAAGTGAGAAAGAATAGCTCCCCACCCTTGGAGAGAAAAACTGAGCTGAACGATGGAAGAACCAAACAGCACGAACTGAGGCCTTGTTGGTCCGACCATCTTTTCTTCTCTTAGACTGAAGCAGATCTGAACTTCGATTTCAATGCATGTTTCCTTCTTCAGTCAATGCCTCGGAGTTAGACAGCATTTCAATAGACTCGTGGACCCGAAGAATGAGAGGCTTACCAACAATTAAAAGGTAAGAATAAATTTGTGAAGGGGGACAAATGTTTTACATTGAAATCACCGATATTTTGAGGTTTTTTTTCTAATGTGGTTTTTTTTATTTTAAAATTATGAAAATATGCGTTATTCTTTTTTCTTGTAATTTGGATATGGTTTAATTTGAAAATTCACAATGACAATTTTTTAATCTGAAAAATTTAGTAATATTCAGGAATCGTCGTCAATAAGATTTAAAAAAAAAAACTTTTTATTATGAAAAATTATCATTGATAAGATTTAAAAAAAATAATTTCTAGCAACTAAAACCTTAATCAGCGACTTTTCAAGGTTTTAAATATAAAAAAAATTAATACACTAAAAAATTGTGAGTGGCATTTTTAAAAAAAAATTATCATTGATATTTTTTAATTACCAAGTTTATAAATACTACATTCTCCGTTTTTAATAAATTGTAATAAAAAAGAAATTAATATTTTTACAAAAAAATTGAGTTTATTCATTGAAAAAATATATGAATGTATCAACACTGATATATTTTAATGGTAAGATTCTTATAAATATTTAAAAAATTTATTATTTAAGTACGAAAAACTAACTTATAAATAATATATCGTTTAAAAATTTAAATTTTTAACTTAATCAATATATGAAAGTTAAGTTTTAAAAAATAGTAAAAAATATTTCATATAAATATCTAATATTGATATGTAACAGTTTTATACGATATCATATAATTTTAATAATAAATATGATGATGTTTAACAAATGTTTTGAATAAATCAACAGGTTATTTTTTACCTTCTACCATTGAATTATACGTCATTTTTATTGAATTATGTGCATATATTTGTTTTATCCTTTTATACCCTAAACACTAAAAATAAATAAATAAAAAAGGAAAATAAGTCTAAAAAACAAACATCTAACTCTAATATTGTAAAATGTAAGGATTATACTAAGAAACATGAGCATATAAAAAGTGACTAACCATTTATATTAACAATGAATATTGAGTACCATCACATCAAGTACCTAAACAAAGTCACTAAACAATAAGATAATTACCTTTATTCATAATAGCCTATCAAACATAGTGTACACTCCTTTTAGATTAGAATAATTTAAAGAAAAGATTCATCAAACTTTATTACCTTTATCTATGGCTTATCTAGAGAGATATGAAAAAGGAAAGATTCATATTTTATAATAATTTCTTTTATAAGAACTTATCTAACTAGAAGTTTATCTATGTTAACTCATTAAAAGTAAAAACTATCTAATGGATCACAATGAGTAACTTATGGAGTGATGCTCATGTCAAAGTTAACTCCATCTATCCCTTGCATAATCCATCGTCTACACTATCATTTAAATCACTAGGACTAAACTAGTAGTTTAAACATGTTTCTTGTTAGGCTTGGCATGTGTCCTTACTATTGTAGTTTTGATATGACACTCCAATTATTTACTTAATAAAATTACTAGGAAGAAAAATTATTTATAAAACATTGAGAGAAATGGGTTAGCCAACAATAGATTAATAATGATAGGAACTTAACTGTTATGATTGGAGATCTCATAAAAAAGGTTTAGGATAATAATAAGTTATTATTAATTCTACTAACACTATTAATTTTTTCATTCCTATGGTGTGAGAAGTGTTAGGTTACATGGGAAGAGAGGTTAAACTTTAAAGCTTTTACTAAATTTTATATTTTTTATGGGTAATGTATAAATGTAGTATACATACGATGAAATAACTCATATAACTATTAGTTAAAATCTCTAGAGCACTAATAAATCACTAGGCATGACCTATTTGAGCAAAATAAAAAATACAACAAAAGATGTGAAATATAATGTGATAAATAAGCCTCTACCACAGGTTAAAGTGTATTGGTTCATATAAATCTTACTTCTCCAATATTATGCTTTATTTGTCTAGGTTTGGTATATAGTTCAAAAGACACTATAGATGCATTTACACTTGTAATGTAATCAGTAAAAAAAAAAAAATTCTTTTTCTTCTGCTTATTAAAGTGTTTATTATTATTATTATTATCAATTATTAATTATTATTCAAAATCCTTTTGAAATATATGAAAAATTATTGTAAATTGTATATATTTTAAAAGTATTTTTAATGTCCCGCATTTATTTTACTGTAATTTGAAAATTTGTGATGGGTGCCTTGAAAGGAATGGTCACCCAAAAACAACAAACACATTTATCGTTGATCATGTGTACTTATATTATTTTTACACACATCACATTATTCAGCTTTTTTTATTATTATTAGCAAACAAACTCAACATATCAAGAATTTACACAAAGAATACTCTAACTCATGTCACAAAAGTTTTATCTTATTTACTTATTATATTATTCATCTTATTTCATATTTATCTCTTCTTTTTTATCACTTTCCTAACTGTAGAAAAGAGTTCTAAGCTTTGGAGAAGAAAATTCTAATTAAAAGAGTTACAATTTTTTCTACACGATACTTATTTACAACTCATTTTATTCTCTTTTAACACTTGACCATATATCACAGCACTTCGAAGGTTAAGGCCACCAAGAACATCACCTTGCCCTTCCATGACTAATATGCCCTGGGGCTCCACATCATGAAGCCTCTTTTATGGTGTGCAGAGTAAATGCAAATATTTCTATAAATCCCATTGCAAACACTTCCGAGAGATACAGTAAGACACATTAATAGTGGTGGTTTCATCAGCACTAGGAGGATAATATGGTGAATCATCAGCATATTCTGTTGGCATAGACATCCAATGCAGACTAGTCTTCCAATCTGCTTCTCTAAGGAGCCTTATTATTTCCCTCACCACTACCTTGCTTCCCTCAGCGGACAGATGTACTCCATCCCTAAGCAATGGAATTTCAAAGATTAAGCTATTTTCTATTTTGGCGCATATACATATATCCACTATGCTCTGAATTTAAAGGTGAAATGGAGCAAATTGAAATGTCTAAGGGGTGAAAAAAATTCATCTCAGTGCATTTCTTTGTTTGTTTGTAGTGTAAATAATACATGAAATATAAAAGATATTTGTGGGATCCACCATATTCCATTTCTTTCCTTAACTGCACTATGCAACTATGAAAGAAGATCTAGATTTATATATACATGTATGTATATGTATATGTATGCATATACGTACGTATATGGGCATGTGTACTTACGTGAAGCTAACATCTAACCAGTCATCCCTTTTCTGGACTGCGGACCATAGATTAATAGCCTTGATATTCATCTCCTCACAAAGCTCCATTAATGCCTCTGCATATATTTCACATGATTCATTGGTTCTTCCTGACTGTGTTTCACTGGATTCAGTCCTAAACTTCATTAGAAAACTTGTGGGGTACAAGGATATGAAGTGATAATGTGATATACTTTTAGTAGATCATGTAAGTGTAAACATCATGTGTCTGTCTCTATATGATTTCAGTAAAAAATAAATAAATATTAAGCTAATAGGAATCAGATAAACCTGAGCTTTTTGCGCATTTGTTCTTCATTTATGGGAGGAGAGGTGAGAAATATAAGGCGAATATGATCCGAAAGGCTCTGGCAAAAGCATTATAATTTGTGTTAAACTTTGAAGCAATAAATATGCAAGTAAAGAAAGAAAATAATAATTTGTACTAGTAGTGAATAAAGTTACAAGGATTGTTGGCATTGGTTGAACAAAATTTGATGTGGAAAATGAAACAGTTACCTTTAGATGGTTAGCAATCTTTCTCATATTTTCAACATATTCTTGAAGGGGTACGTGAGGACCAAGGCCAGATGGGTGAGGGTGAATAGAATCATTACCACCAAAGTAGACCAAAGGATCACTACTTACATCTCAGTAAATATATAAACAAGAATCGCTAGTAAAAAAATAGCAGTCAGGACATTGTCTAAAGCTGAATATAAATGTCAATAATAATAATAATAATAATAATAATAATAAAACACACACACATTTAAGTTAAAATATGTTCATGCTCACTTTTAACTAGCAACGAATCCCGAAATTTTGGACTGTATAACTTTCACATTTTAAAATATTGAGTAATATGAATAAAGTTACAGACAAGAAAATTTATATGACAACTTAATATTATAATAAAATTGAAATTTTTTTTAAATTGAGCTAGTAATTGTATGAGCCTCTATATTACTCATTGTAGATATGTTGCTGCTTCTAAGAAAAATTTTAATTAGATATCGTGTTCACTTGCAAGATTGTCTAAGTTAATCTTTTCTTGGTGCCAATGTGCCACTCTACTCAATGATAATAAATAAAACGTAATGTTTTTAAGAAATTCAAATGGAAACAAAGAAAATCTAATGTGGCATTCAACATGTGAATTGCTTCATCAATACCTTTGGGAAATGTTGGGGTATCAACGCAATGCAGAAGACTAGATCGAATTTAATTGGAAATAAAGAGAAGTAAGAGAATAATGGAGGCAGGATTTTAACGTGAGAAAAACTCTAAATCGGAGAAATTGTTGCTACGGGTGAAGTCGTGGTTCAGAAGATTCATACATATGAGAATCCAGCTAATATGCTTACTAAGCCTCTTCCAAAGGCCAAGTTCCAGCATTGCTTGGACTTGGTTGGTTTCTACAGCACTTGAATGCCCTTCGGGGTTTAAACGACGTCGAGTAATTTATCAAAACTGATCCAAGGTGGAGATTGTTAGTAGGTGGCTCAGTTTGTTAACGTTTGCAGGCACCGACTTTGTTTTTTTTAATCTTTGTAAGCACTAATTTTTTCATTTGGTAAGTACCGAATTGCTACAGTAATTGTTGAAAAACTTTACAAAATTTTGCCTATAAATACCCAGTGTAGGAATGAATGACAGACACACCAAAATTACGATCTTTTGTATATCAACTTACGGATCGGAGAGAAATTGAGAGTATTATTTTGTAGCTCTTATTCTACTTGAGAGAGTATTTATTGAGAGAAAAATAGAGTGATTTATTACTCTGTCCTCATAATTTTAGAAGACTTCTTGTACTTTCCCTTTTACATAGTGAAATTATTTTGCTCGTCGTTATCCGTGAGTTTTTTCTCCGATTTAGAGTTTTTCCCACATTAAAATCCTGCCTTCATTATTCTCTTACTTCTCTTTATTTTCAATTAAATTCGATCCAGTCTTCCGCATTGCGTTGATACCCCAACAAGTGGTATCAGAGCTGTTATTTAATTGGAAATATTAAAATGTCTACCGTTACAAAGTTTGACATTGAGAAGTTTAATGGCAAGATTAGTTTTTCTATTTGGAAAGTCCAAATGAGAGTCATTCTCACTCAAAACGGATTAAAGAAAGCTTTAGATGGAAAGTCGAAAAAACTGGCTTCCATGACCGATGAGCAATGGGACAAGTTGGATGAAAAGGCGCTTTCAGCAATCCAACTTTGCTTGTCCAAGGAGGTTCTACGTGAAGTGGCCGACGTAACCACTGCTGCAGAATTGTGGTTAAAATTGGAAACTTTGTATATGACTAAAAGCCTCACCAACAAGTTTCGTCTCAATGAGCGATTATATATGTTCCGTATGATAGAAGGTACTCTCATTCAATCTCATCTTGATGAGTTTAATTCTATTATTATGGATCTGCAAAATATCGATATTAAAATCGATGATGAAGATAAAGTTGTTTTGTTAGTTATCTCTCTACCTTCTACCTACAAACACTTCATAGAAATTATGTTGTATGGTAATAATGACACCTTATCCTTTGAAGATGTTAAATCTAATTTATTGTCCAAAGAAAAATTTGATCTTGAAATTCATTCTGAGGACAAGGGTGAGGGTCTAAGTGTTAGAGGTAGAACTCAAGTAAAAGGGAGTACTAGTCACAAAAAGAATAGATCCAAATCTAGGGGACGAAAATCCAACACTACCTGTCGTTATTGCAAAAAATATGGGCATGACATTTCTGATTGTTTTATCTTAAAGAAAAAAGAAGAAAATAAACAAAAGAAAGAAAAAGGTAAACAACCTGTTGAAGCTGCTAATATTGAGACTGATTCTGATGGAGATGTTATGGCATCTGTTGTCTCTTCTGACAAGAGAAGCAAAAATAAGTGGCTTCTTGACTCTGCATGCACATACCACATGTGTGCTTATAGGGATCTATTTACCACTTTTGAACCGGTTAATGGTGGTATTGTCTTGATGGCTAATGATACCTAATGCAAAGTTGAAGGAATAGGTACTATTCAGATCAAGGCTCATGATGGTGTTGTCAGGACTCTGACTAATGTTCGCTTTATTCCTGAATTAAAGCAGAATCTCATCTCTCTTGGCAGCCTTGAATCTCTTAGGTGCAAGTATTCATCTGAAGGTGGAGTCCTAAAGGTATCCAAAGGTGCCCTTGTTTTGTTGAAAGGTAACCGAGTTGGTACTTTATATTTCTTGCAAGGTTTTGTTGTGACAGGTTCAGCAGCTGTATCTTCTTCTATGCTTGATAATGATGTCACCAAATTATGGCACATGCGCCTGGGCCATATGAGTGAAAAAGGCATGCATCTTTTGAGCAAACAAGGTCTTCTTGGTAATCAAGTATCGGTAAGTTGGAGTTTTGTGAACATTGTGTCTTTGGGAAACAGAAAAAAGTAAGTTTCTTTACTGCAACTCACCATACAAAGGGTATTCTTGATTATATTCATTCTGACCTCTGGGGGCCTTCTAAAGTTCCCTCTTATGGAGGACGCCGTTATATGATGACTATTATTGATGATTTTTCTCGCAAAGTTTGGGTTTATTTTCTTAAGTATAAAAATGAGACCTTCCCCACTTTTAAGAAGTGGAAAACTCTTGTTGAAACCCAGACAGGGAGAAAAGTCAAGAAGCTCAGAACGGATAATGGATTGGAGTTCTGTGACGGTAACTTTATCGAGTTCTGTGCAAATCATGGAATTGCTAGACATAAAATCATTCCAAGAACACTCCAGCAAAATGGTGTTGCAGAACGAATGAATAGGACTCTACTTGAGAGAGCTCGTTGTATGCTCTCAAATGCTGGGTTATGGCATCAACGTGAATTTTGGGCCGAAGCAGTATCAACTGCTTGTTACTTGGTTAATCGTTCTCCATACTCGTCACTTAATTTCAAAATTCTAGAAGAAATTTGGTCAGATAATCCTGTTGATTATTCCAATTTGAGAATCTTTGGATGTCCTGCTTATGCATATGTCAATGATGGCAAATTAGCTCCAAGAGCTATTAAGTGCATATTTCTTGGTTATGCATCTGAATCTAAAGGATATCGTTTATGGAATCCCAAGTCACAAAAATTAATTCTTAGTAGAGATGTGACTTTTAACGAGGATGCTTTATTATCTTCTAGAAAATAATCTTCTGTGATTTCTTCTACTAGTACTAATATTCTGTAGGGTACTAGCGAGAAGGTGAAGTTGGAGTTGAAATCTACAACTCCTAATGTTAATGTTCCATCTTTTTCTATCAATGAGTCTAGCACTGATATTCATGGTGATGATGATTTTGATGAGATTACCACTTCTCTAATTCAGTCACAGGAAGAGGAGCATTTCATTGCCCGAGACAGACCAAGAAGGATGATTACTAAGCCAGCTAGATATGCAAATTATGCTTGTGATGATGATTTAATTGCATATGCATTATCTGTTGTACAAGAAATAAATGATGACATTGAACCAACCAGCTATATTGAGGCTATTTCTTGTGCTGATTCTTCAAAATGGCTAGTGGCTATGAATGAAGAAATTGAAAGTCTTCATAAGAATGGTACTTGGAGTTTAACAGAGCTTCCCAAAAGCAAACGGCCTTTGAAATGCAAATGGATCTATAAGAAGAAAGACAGCATTCTCGGGGTTGAAGATCCTAGATTCAAGGCACGATTGGTTGTTAAAGGCTTCAGCCAAAAGGAAGGTATTGACTTTAATGAGATTTTCTCACCTGTTGTTCGTCATACCTCCATACGTGTTTTGCTTTCTTTTGTTACTTTATTTGACTTGGAATTGGAGCAACTTGATGTTAAGACAGCTTTTCTGCATAGAGAGCTGGAAAAGGAAATTTATATGGAGCAACCTGAGGGATTTATTGTTCCTGGTAAGGAACATCTTGTCTGCCGATTGAAGAAATCTTTATATGGATTCAAACAAGTTCCAAGACAATGGTACAAAAGGTTTGATTCCTTTATGATTAGGCAAGGTTATTGCAGAAGTCAATATGACAACTGTATTTATTTTCAAAAACTTCCTGATGAATCTTACATATACTTGTTACTATATGTTGATGATATGTTGATTGCATCACGTGACAAGTCTCTGATCAGGAAATTAAAAACTCAACTCAATAGTGAGGTTGAAATGAAAGAATTGGGTGCAGCTAAGAAGATTCTTGGTATGGAGATTTGCACGGATCGTCAAGCTGGTAAATTGTTTCTATCTCAACAAAAATACGTTGAGAAAGTGCTTGACAGGTTTAATATGTCTAATTGCAAATCTGTTTCTACTCCACTTGCTGCACATTTCAAGTTATCATCTGACCTTTGTCTTGAGACAGCGGAAGACATGGAGCTATGTCACACGTTCCTTATGCTAGTGCTGTTGGCAGTCTTATGTATGCTATGGTATGCACTAGACCTGATTTAGCATATGTCGTTAGCATGATGAGTTGGTATATGCATAATCCTGGAAAGGATCATTGGAGTGCTATAAAATGGATTTTTCGGTATCTCAAAGGTACTTCCGATATTAGCTTGGTATTTGATAGAAATCATGCAACAACTGAAGTTACAGGTTTTGTTGATTCGGATAATGGTGGCAATCTTGACAAAAGAAGATCTCTTTCTAGTTACATATTTACTCTCTATAACTGTGCTATTAGTTAGAAAGCTCAGCTTTAGTCTCTTCCATCATTATCTACGACTGAAGCTGAATATGTTGCAGCAACAGAGGGTGTGAAAGAGGCTCTTTGGCTTAAAGGTCTGATCAATGAACTTGGTCTTACACAGGATGTTCTTACTGTGTTTTGTGATAGTCAAGTGCTATTTACTTGACCAAGAATAAACGCTACCATGACAGGACAAAACATATTGATGTGAGACATCATTTTATCCGAGAAATTGTTGCTAAGGGTGAAGTCGTGGTTCAGAAGATTCATACATCTGAGAATCCAGCTGATATGCTTACTAAGCCTCTTCCAAAGGCCAAGTTCCAACATTGCTTGGACTTGGTTGGTCTCTACAGCATTTAAATGTCCTTCGAGGTTTAAACGACGTTGAGCAATTTATCAAAACTGATCCAAGGTGGAGATTGTTAGTAGGTGACTCAGTTTGTCAATGTTTGTAGGCACCAGCTTTGTTATTTTTAATCTTTGTAAGCACTGATTTTTTCATTTGATAGGCACCGAATTGCTACAGTAATTGTTGAAAAACTTTACAAAATTTTTCCTATAAATACCCAGTGTAGGAATGAATGACAGACACACCAAAATTACGATCTTTTGTATATCAACTTACGGATCGGAGAGAAATTGAGAGTATTATTTTGTAGCTCTTATTCTACTTGAGAGAGTATTTATTGAGAAAAAAATAGAGTGATTTATTACTCTGTCCTCATAATTTTAGAGAACTTCTTGTACTTTCCCTTTTACATAGTGAAATTATTTTGCTCGTCGTTGTCCGTGAATTTTTTTTCTGATTTGGAGTTTTTCTCACGTTAAAATCCTGCCTCCATTATTCTCTTACTTCTCTTTATTTTCAATTAAATTCGATCCAATCTTCTGCATTGCGATGATACCCCAACAGGAAAACTTCATCCAGAACATCCAAAGCATGCCTTGAATTCCAACCTGAATATCCTCGTAAAATTATGTCCGCCTGCGTGGCCACGTCAACATGATATACAAACAAGTTCATTCACTATAATATATACACAGTATCTTTTACTTTTCTTTTGGTTAATAAATAATCAAACCAAATACCTAGGGATAGAGAGCGTTCTTTTTTATTATTATTACTTATAAAAATGCCACTTCATATTTTTATTAGTCTTTTTAATATTAAATCCGTCAATAAAACAAGAAATTAAAGTATCACACCAATAATATTCAATTAATTGTATATATAGTACCTAACGTTTTTCACAGTTTTGACATAGTAGTAAGAGTCAGTTGAAGTGTATATATATAGTGATTCTAAAGCCTTAATTGAGAAAAAATAAATTATAGTGTAGTTGCAGCTGTGACCATTAGAATTAAAATGATCACAAATGATGATGGAGAAAGAAAAACACCTTTCTAGCATATAAATTAGCTAGAATAGTACCCCAACCACCGTTATCGAAACTCATCTGAATTATAGACGAGCCAAAGAGCACAATCTGAGGTCTCATTGGGCCTACCATGATCTGCTTATTGAATGTGTTGTGTTTCTCTTCTCTTTGACTTCCCTACACACAAGTGAGTACACACTACACATACCATGTAATAACACTCAATGGGATTCAATTTATAGACACAGATTTGTGATTCTTTTTCTTTTTCTTTTTCCCTTGTGCCAATTCGGTCCTGCCACGTTATCTGGTCGGCTAGAAAGTTGTCCTTCATGGAATATTATATTTCCATTTCATCATTGGATTCTGAATATTCCTGCGAGGGTATGGCAATTGTACTTCAATAAACTTTTTGAAATTTTTTTTTTTTACTCAATACATAGTAATTTGTTAGAATAATAAAGTTACACATTGGTAGGTTATAAACAAATCAAAGAATGTATAAGCAAGAGAGCTCAAATCTAAATAGCTTAAGATGGTCACTCAAATTTATAATTCATACTCTCTCTCCAATTTTGGGTTAGACTCATATACCAAATATAATTTGTGCACACACATTTCTATTATATCAATGAACCCCAGACAAGGTTAATTAGGTTGAGTCTCAACTTTAAAGTTGTGGCTGTCAAAACTAGGAACATTGTTTGATAGGGTCGATTAATTTTGAGGTTTTTGTTTTTTTTTGGGTAGGAATTTTGTGGCTATAGGTTAGGTTGAGGTATTTTATTTTTTTTAAACCTGACCAATTAAATTAGGAGTGAGTTTAGTTGGGTTAAATTTGCAAATCTGAGTCTGATATATATTTGATAAGAGAAAATTCCGACCAAAATAAGTGTTAAACTTCAAAAATAAAAATTTGTTACATATAACACGTTTGAATTATAAAAATGTGTCATTTATGTTCTACATGAAATAAAAAAGTAACAAAACCAACCGTAAACAGACACAAAAGTTAAACAACTAACTAAAAAACAAGTTTCACTTAAATAAGATACGTTTGAAAGAATAAGCTAAAGGATTCAAAAGTGATTATCATCACATAGTTGATATCATTGCATTTAACTTATAGATTGACATGGTGTGCATACATGATAACAATTATAAACTTAATTTTGAATAAAATTAATTTTGTAAAGTTGATTTTATAAGTTCAAAGTGAATTTAAAGTAAAATAAATTATATTGGAAACCGTTATCTCAAAAGTAATTCTGTAGTTTACAATATAATTATAAACTTGATTTTGAATAACACCAAATTTTATGAATCCTTTATTTTATTTTTATATGAAAAAGTTTAAGTAAATTAGTTCATCAAGTCAAAGACATGTCTTAAGATTTAAAAAGTCACTTATCAATAAAATCTTCACATGGATAGTGAGACATCAACCCTTCAAGTAATTTGATGTTCAAGTTTTATCTTTAAACTAATAATCTGACCTAACTTCCAACAAATAGAAGCACTTAAACAAGTTCCTATTACTCTTTCTCCAAAGCGGGCGGCGGCAACATGAGAACGGTGATGACTGTTATGATTAACTATGAGGAACTTTTTGGGTGAGTTTTGTCTTCAATAGCTTTAACCAATTTACATGGGACTTGCATATGTATTTGCCACTTGGTGATACACATATATGCATCTTAGTTAATTGGTAACTTCCCCCTTCATTGTTTTAAATATAATCGATGATAGCAATGCACGTCACAAGTCCCCTGAAACCTTCTGCCAAAAGAAAAAAATCACTGCTTACGGCTTTATTTGGATTTTATGCTGAGGAGGGTGAGAATAGAAAAGGAGAATTAAAAATCACTCACTCTTGAAAGTTAATTAAATATAAAAAGGAGAGTTAGAAAGTTATTATAATTTTTAATACTTTTTTAACCTTATTTTTTTAGTTTTTTGGAGAATTCTTTGAAAAAAAATTGAAATGATTATTGTATTAAAATTCTTAATTTTTATATTTAAAAATATTTTATTATTATTAATTTTTTATATTTTTTTAAAAATTAAACAAGACAATATATATATATATATATATATATATATATATATATAAAAGGATAATATGTTAAAGCTTTTTATATACTCTTTTATCTCAGTGTTAAACATTAAAAGAAGAGAATGGTTTAACTCTCCCTTCTTTTCTTCTAAACATTCTAATCTCTTTCTTCTACACTTTTTCTAAACTCAAACAAAATGTATAAGAAGTATTTTTTTTTAAAAAAAAGTAAATTTTGAAATACTTTTAAAATTTTTTAGGATAATGTATAGAAAAAAATGTTAACTAACAATACTTAGACACATATTTAAGTAATAATTTTATTTAATAACAAATTAATAATATATATTTTTTATAATTTGTCATGTGTTTTTTTATTGGTATAATTTTTTAGGTATAGTATTCATAAAACAAAATTGAGATACTGCAGCACACATCTTTAAAAAGTTCATAAAAGATTATCTTGTTAAAAATTTATTTAAAACAAAGTCATGTTAATAAAATCATTGAAAGCAATGCGTGCTTGACATGGTGAAAAACAATTGTTTAGAAGGGTTGGGCGGATTCATAGCACATATGGATATTCTGGAGATTCATTGTAAGAATGGATTACTAATAAACAAAGAATCTATGGATCTTTTAAGTTTTATTACAAAATACAATGGTAGAGATTAGCATGAGTTAACAAAGTAAGTGACTCGTGAGTGAGTGACTATTTTTAAATTATACATACTTATCATTTAATCCGTAATAAGAATTTTTAAAATTTCTTTTTGAAACTTAAAAACTTTTTATTTTGTAGTTTCAAAACCTATTATTGTCTTTTGTCTTTAAAACTTAGTACGTTGTATTTTTTTTTTCTTTATCTCTATGTATCTCGGATCTTCTAACCTTATTATTTTAACAAAGTATGCATTAAAATGCACATTTAAATGCAGTTTGAATATATAATAAAAAAATAACTTTTGAATCAATAAAATATTGAATGTTATGTTATATTTTTAGAGTTCTACATAAATTTTGTTTATGAAGTTAATGATTTTTAGAATTAAAACTTTTACACCCATTCTTAGAGTCTCAATTCATTATAAAAATAAATTTTTGTATTGATATATTATTAAATGCCATTTTAGATCTTTCACATGTTCTCTTTGTATAATGGTCATTTTTGCATCACACAAATTCTACAACATTCACTTAAGCTAAATTTTTATCGCTTAAGAAAAAATTATTGAAAAAAATAACTCATTAGAAGTAATTCGCTTAAGTGAAACCTAATCAGCTTAAGTCGTGAAATACAACACAATAATAGCTTAAACGATGAAAATTAGCTTAAGCGAATGTGTATTAGATTCATATATGTCTGTGATTCGCTTAAGCGCATATGTAGCTTAATCTAATTTTGATGAAAAGTTTATATTAATCTCTATCTTTGATTTGCTTAAGTGAATGTATATTAGCTTAAGCGAATTTGACTAAAAATTTAGATTCATCTCTGTCTAAATTTAGCTTAAGCAGGTAACTCTGACTTAAGCGAAAATTTCAGCATAACAAATTCTTTGTATTTTTTTTAGTTTAACAAAATATTCTTAGTCAATACTCGAATTCAAATGAAATTAAAATAATAATTTTTAAAATAATTGGGATAAGTAAATGATGTTTTTAAATAGAAAACCTTTACATTTGAAAGTATAATAATTTAAAGAAAAAATAATTTTGTAAGTTTAGGGTAGATGTGAGAAACAAGTTTGCATACTATTAAAGAGGTGGAATAAGAAGGAATTGAAATAAAAGAAAGAGAAATTGAATAAAATTTCTTTAACAATATTCCAAAAAAAGATTACATGACTTCATTAGATTTTTTACCTTGAATTTCTCTTTTCAAACTTTCATCAAGTAAACTTTAACTACAGTCACTCAATTTATAGTTAAATTTTACATTAAAAACACAAAACAAAATCTTAAACGTCTTTAAAAATAAAGATAGAAATGTGTTTGAGAAAATATTAAAGAAAAATTTATTTTAAATATCTAAAAAATTGAAATCTTTTATATATAAAATTTAGTAAAAATTAAATTTTAAATATTTAAAATTTTAAAACTTATTATAATAAGTCAGTTTACTAATTTATTTATAAATTACTTATTTTACTGACTCATAACTTTCACCAAATATTATAACTTATTAATTACACAGTTTCGAGTTATTCATCCACCTTATTACAAGCTTTATATTCAAATATTATATCAATCAGTATGATATTAACTGATGTACGATGCAATTAAACACATTGAATATGGTTCATGTTCGACTTGTTTTTTCCTTTATTAGTTTCAAAATATATTCTAAAATTAAAAAAAATAAAAATTTGTTAATAATTATATAACATAATATAACGATAGAATATGTTGATTTGAATTTGTCCCATAAAATTTAAGGTTTAAATTTGAAATTATGACCGTAGACATTTTTAATCTGATCCAATCAAGTTTGATGTGCAATAATCTTGCAAGAACTGGATATAGAAGTTTAGTATATTATTATTTAATTATAAATATAATTATATATTATATAAAAATAATCATTAATTTTATAATAATTAATTTAAATGTATATTTATTGTATATAATAAAATCTTTCTTATTTTTAAATTATTAAATTTTAAAATAGTCATATAATTTATTATTTGTTTATTCATTTAAAATAATTTAAATTAATAATATCCATATATGAAAAAATTACTAATTTTAATTAATTAAAAATATAATTTTTTTATATTAATAATAGTGCACAAAATTAAATTTTTAATAAATATAAATCTAGTGGAAGTGTAAATATTTTATAAGATGCGAAATAGATTCTAAAGTTGAGGAATCAAAGCTAATAATGCAGGTATATCTTTTAAAGATAATGATATATTCTAAAGCTAGGAGAGTGAGATGATATAAGGTAGAAGCTAATCATTTCAGCAAATAATAATTATTAAAACTTAAAGCCTGGTGAATCATACGTCAAACCCCACAATTATTAACCAATTATATTATTGCGATGAATACTTGATATCATAATGTTAAG